CAAAAAAATATCCAAAATAATTATTTCGCGCAGGGCACGGATACTACACTAGATTTCAGTGTTTAGTTGCTTTATTGTTATCTTAATTTGTTGTAATAACTTAAGATTATCTTGGTTTAATAATTTTGATTTTATAATTTATAAAGATATATTGCATTTTTTGATATACTTTAGCTAATTATTAAGTGTAATATTTAAAAATCTTCTCTAATATTATTATTCCGTGCAGGCGCATGTACTGTCTTAGTATATTTATATATAACATTATCCACTATAAATTAAATAAAATGTTTAAGAAAAACAGATGAGATAATCCATTTGATAATATAAGAGGCCAATTAGATCACTGGGATTGATGACATGACAATTTTGGAGAGAGCCAATCTCGTCCGTTAAAAGTTTGGAGAGCCAATCTTGTCCGTTCAACCCTTTCAATCCCTTAACCTTCTTTTTTTCTTTTTTGTTATCTGCCGCCGACAAAGGAAAGAAAAACAAAACAGAAACATCATCTCTCACCTTCCCTCTCTGCGACAAATCGACTAAGGTGATTTTCTTGTTTAGCTCTTTCAATCTTCCTCAAATCTCTAAATCTCCGATGAATCTGACAAAATCATCCTGTCAGGTTCCGGAATTGTCCTTGCCGCTCGTCCTCCGAGCCCGACCAGGCCTTCGATTCCCGTTTCTTCTTCTCCGTTTATGAAATTGGAGATTGTGGCCGCAAGTAGAGATCCGAAATCGCGAGGAACACTCCAACGTTTGTTGTAGATCTGGAGGTGAAATGTTTTGATATTTGAAGCTCTTTTCTTGAATTTCTCTTGTCTAATTTCTTCTATTTCTTTAACCAAAAAGAACAACAAAAAATAAATCTCCATTGATTTTGTTTCTGTTTCTGTATAGACTTTCACTCACGCAAATCTGAAACTAAACTTGTTATCAATGCGTAGAGATCAACCTCTGTGTCTCCTGCTCTTACAAGTATAGCTCGATTTGTTTTGAGGTTATTGGCTTTTTCAACTTTCGCTTCATGTGTTAATTAGTTTTGGCTCGATTTGGTTCATTAGATTTTAGTCTTATTCCTGATTTTCACTTATGCATCTTGCTTACTGCAATATGTTACTTGGTTTTGTTTTTGAAATTTGAGAACTTTGAAACTTTTGTCTAAACAGGTTTCTACACGACAAGGTCAAGCCACAAGTGGTGCTCCGTGACATCCGAGCAAGCGACCTGCTACACGACGAAAAATTTGGAGCTCATTTAATTGTCTCAAAATTCGCCCCATGGGAAGCAATGCAATAGAGAATCGTAATGCCAGGTGGAACCTTTGGATACCATACATACACATTTGGAGGTGCAAGAGTGTGGCCCAAATTGAAAAGTTTAAATACAGGAGTGTGTAAATACACGAAATTATGTATTTGAGTATCTTTGTAATACATGTCTTTTGTATCATGGTTTCATATTAATAAAATATGGCATTTCTCTTTTCTTTTTTTTTGTCGTCTGGCATTTCTCTTTTTATAGATATCATTTTATTCCAAAATCTGTAGTTATGTTAATAAAAAAAAATTAATAGAAA